GAAAAACATTAAGTTAAAGAGAACTTTTTAAAATTCACTTTTTTATGTTTGTGTTTTTTTCTTAATGCCTTAAAAATAAAAGTTGTGAAATATTGTTTACCCTTTTAAACATAGGTACCGTTTCAGTTCCTTTTTGGGCTTTGGTCCTAAGGCCTCACTGATGTTCCTTTTAAGATCACAGCTAGAAGACATGGCCCTGTTGTACTGTGCCAGGAGATTCTGTTGTATCGGTCTGAGAAGCTGAGCTTTATTATTAAAATTGAATTTAAGATTGGGCGTGGTGGCTTACACCTGTAATCCCAGCACTTTGGGAGGCTGAGGCAAGAGGATTGCCTGAGTCCAGGGGTTCGAGACCAACCTGGGCAATTTGGTGAGATCGTCTTTATACAATAAATAAAAAAATTAGCTGGGTGTGGTGGCATACACCTATGGTTCTAGCTCCTTGGAAACCTGAGGTAAAAGGGTCAGCTGAGCCCAGCAGGTCAAGGCTGTGGTGGCCCTGAGCATGCCACTTCGCTCCAACCTGGGTGACAGTGAGACTGCAACTCAATAATAATAATAATAATATAATATAATAAAATTGAGTTTAAGACATCTTAACTCTGCGTGGAGTATTTTTTTTAATGTCAGTTGCTATCACACAAGTGTGTCATTCCTTTTTACCTTTTTGCTTAGACACAAGCAGAGAAGACCTTAGGTATCATGGTTAACTGGGCAGAGTTGTTCTCAGGCCTAAACAAATGATCAGATGAGGAAAAGAGGAAATCATGGTTCTCAAAGTGAGGGTTCCAGACTGACATCACCTGGAAACTTGTTGGAAGTGCAGTCTCCCAGGGCGCAGCAGTCTGTGGAACGAACCCTGCATGTGAGTCTAGCGCCTGCCTGCCTTTGGAACCTCAAGGATGGGAAAGGTCGTCACTGAAGAGTTTTCTGAACTGGAGCTCTCCTGCCCGCTCTTTCTGTGGCCCCGGTCTTGCTCTGAAAAACTGCCCTGCTCTGAGATCTGTGCAGCTCTCTCCTTCCTCAGACCTTCCCTCTGTACGTAGTTCCCACTTGGGGATCAACTCTTCTCTGGCTGATCCTCAGTGTCTTTCTCATCCTCTCCACTGTTCGTGTATTCCGCGACTGCTTATGGTCCATCTTCTGTGTGTCAGGGACTGTCCTGTCCTGAGGACACAGAGGAACAGACAGACACAGTCTATGCCCTCATGAGCTTCGGAGGGGAGGAGGACTCTGGCCTTGGCCAGTCTGGGCCAGGCCGGGAGGAGCTGAGTCTGGCTTCTTGCTCTCTAGTTCTTGAGGGCCTGTCTTGTCTTTTCTTCTTTTAATTGGGTCCTGCTTCGAGAGAGAGTTCTCACCACTATCTCTCTCCTAGGAGTCAGAGGCCTCTTCTGAGCATGCTTATTGAAATGTGACTACAGTGTGCTAAGCAAACTTGCAGGAAACTTGACTTCATTATTAAGTTAAAAAAATGTGGAGTAGATTGTATTAGGTTGCACTGTATTCATTTCTGTAACAATTTAGGTAGAGTAGAGTTAAAAACCCAGATTGTGTGCATTTTGCAATTTTGCTGGGTGCAGGGAGCCATTTTTGCCTCCTAATACAAAATAGAGAAATGGTGGCAAACCTGCCTTGAGACATACTACATTGGGGTCCTGATTGACACATTTGAAATGCATCTGAGATTCGATTTGTGTATCTGTTCTTGCTCACAGACTTTGCTTAGTCTAGTCCTCTGCCCTCCCCTTCCAAGCAGCGTTAGGGATGTCTTATCAGGCTTTCCCTAAATCATCAGGATTAGCACATGACTATGACCAGCTGGATCCTTCTAATTGGAAATGTAGGTGCTTCTCACATTGAAATCTCTCTGAAAGTATCTCCACAGATCTCTTTCAGCTATGGGAATTCTACTAAATGCCTATAGTATTATGTGGCCTGTGTATGTATAAAGTATGTGAGTTCTGTAGAGTCGGTGATTATTTCTAGAAAAATGTGTTACTGAAAAAATCCTTCTGGGTATGGTGGCTCACTGAGCCTGTAAATCCCAGCATTTTGGGAGGGAGGTGGAGGCTAGAGGATTGCCTGAGTCCACGGGTTCAAGACCAGCCTGGGAAACATGGTGAGACTTCATTTCTACAATAAATTAAAAAAATTAGCTGGGCATGATGGTGCACGCCTGTAGTTCCAGCTACTTGGAAGGCTGAGGCAGAAGGATCCCCTGAGCCCAGCAGGTTGAGGCTGCGGTGGCCATGAGCGTGCCACTCCACTCCAGTCTGGGCAACAGAATGAGACTCTGACTCAGAAAAGAAAAGAAAAAATCCTATTGTTTATTCTTGTAACAAGTCTTAAAAAGACAGTTCTACATTGATGACTAAAAGAAAAGTCTTGCCTAAATGTTGCCTCTTCTCCAGAAAACCAATAAAAATTCAAAGTGACGATTCGCTTACTAGTTTGTTTTTGTTATGTTTTGGATTACCTTTTGGGATAGTGCTTCTCCAGCTTTCTGTGATGTGAGGCCATCTTGTTTTTGCTTCCCCTCTCCCCCCATCTTTCATAGCCTTTGGTAAAACCCAATAAGAATAATTACAAGAAAAATGAAATAAAAATACAAAGATGTATACACTCCATTTTAAAAACTAGCTTCACAGACGTACAGTTAGTTACTCTGTACATTTGCAGTAGAAGTTTCTAAACACAGTACCTCATCATGACCAGTAACAAACAGCTTGCAGACAGGCATTTTCTGAGACCATACTTTTGAGAAACACTCTTTTAGAGTGTGTATGTATGTGTGTACACACATTATAATGTAACATAGTCCATGTGACAACTTCATATGAGAATTAAGTGCACATAGCTCTTTGGCAAAAGTGACATTTTTCTGGAAGTACTTAAATGCTCAGTTTGTAAGCAAATACCAATACTAAGTATAATTGTGAGTGCAGTTATGTGTTTCAAAACCTCATTGTCCGGTAACACTCTGATGCATGACGTAGAAAGTGTTTTGCAATGTGAAATAAAACCACCGTCACTCTAATTCACGTTCAGGTTTAAACAGATACTTTAGATAGGAAATGTTCTATGCAAAGCAGATATACAAATGTGACTTTTAGCACTAATCAGCAGGAAATATGTCTGTCACCTAAGTATTAGATGTTGTTACTATCATACCTTCCTCGCCTTGGAGAACCATTAGTTACTGGAGTAGTCTCGGGGCCTAGTGATTGATAGTATTTTCTTAATGTGTACAGGATGAGGGAAAATGCTTCTTGCAAGTAGCTCCACATTCTTTATAAACATTGCTCAAAATCTCAAGCTTCTTCTACCTGTCTCTTCTGGAGACTGAGGCATGTGAAATCCACTTACCTCAAGTGGGACTTGTGTGCCAGGCTCCCTGACCACCTATGTGGATTCACCTGCCTTGGGGGGCAACGTGGCCTTTCTAACAAAGTGTTGGAAGTTCTGTGAGGCTTCTATTCTGTTTAGACCTATTCCTTTAGGATGAGACTTGAAATTCAAAATGGTGATAAGGTGTAGGAGGAGCTATTTAGCCTCTTGAAAGCTAGACTTTATTCATGTGAGATTCTCACTGTGCCTGGCAGAGTGTCTAAGACAGTGTAGAGGTGGAGTAAATTCATAACAGATTGACTGAGGCACAGTCAATCAGCTGAAGTAATTCAGTGAAAGGTGAGTAGTGCTTAGAAGAAAAATTGGATAACTGCAGGATTGCTTGTATATGAAGATAAGAGGAAGAGTGAGTCACACTGAGGATAGGATGAAAGCATATCTGTGTGAGTCTTATGGAGCAAGGGAATGAGCAGAGGCCTGCATCAGGGAGAATCTTGTGTCCTAGTCTGAATGACAAAGGGATAGGTTTCTTGATTAAGTGGTGAAGAAAGTAAGGTCTGTATGGGCTTGAGATTGTTCTGTGTAGGCAGTAGAAGTTCTGAAGAAAGAAGGTGATGACGTTGTGGCATGACCTTGGAGAACTGGAAGGACCCCTCTCAAGAAGGTGACACCCAACCAAAGGCCAGAGCAAGAAAGGACACAGCCTGGGCTGTGAGCCATAGACAAGATGGGGCAAGAGTTCTTCACTGAGGTTTTAAAACTCAACCCATTACCAAATTCTCGAGGTCTGAGATATGAGGTCGTCGTTTCTTTAAATTACATACGTATCTCTGGAATCACAGTAGGTATTTTGTTATGAAATGTCTTAAGTACCCAAAGAGCAATGCTTATAATCAGAGCTAATTACTTTAAAATTAATCCAGTTACATTCAGACATAACTGTGTGCGATGAAACTGAGCCAAGGAAAAACTTTGGCTGGGAAATACACATTCCTCCACTTGATTCGAGAATGAAAAGTGGTGGCAGCTCAGTCACTGTGGTCATTTAACACAGGCCAAGTGCTTCACCACATGTCACCAAACCGGCAGAAAGGCTCTGTGCATAATGAGGAAGGAAAAGCGTTTTGAAAGCGCACTCGGTTCTCCCAGAATTATACATGCTCCTTCTTCTTTAGCTTGGTTCTTTTAATCCTTCAAGATGTGTTCAAGCTGTAATTTTGACACCTGTGTCTGTTTAGGTCATAGCATTGCAAGTGTTTTCTTGGGCTTTAAAAATAAATCCGTTTGGGGGAGGGAACTCGAACCTGCACGATAATGTTAGGCCTGCGAATGCAAGCACATGAGCTGAGAAAGTCAAAATCACGGTTTCCATGGTAACTCTTAACTTGTCTGTGTCGTACACATTTCTCAAGAAATACATTCACCAGACTACCTAGTGATAAAAATTGCTCTGCAGGCACACAGAGGTAGATTTTCTAATTCTCTCTTAGTCCACAAGGTCTCCCCCTGCCCCAATTAATCCATCTGTTCTTCTCCATAACCCTGGGCAAGAAACTGAAGTCCGCATCCCGACTTCTAAATCAGCGTCTTTTTTTGTGGTAGAAACCAGCTTTTGTGTGATTAATGCCATTTCCCCCCTCTCTCCTTTGCAGATATATGTTGGGTAAAGGAGGAAAACGGAAGTTTGATGAGCATGAAGATGGGCTGGAAGGCAAAATCCTGTCTCCCTCTGACGGTCCATCCAAGGTGTCTTACACCTTACAGCGCCAGACTATCTTCAACATTTCCCTTATGAAACTCTATAACCACAGGCCCCTGACAGAGCCCAGCTTGCAAAAGACCGTTTTAATTAACAACATGTTGAGGCGGATCCAGGAGGAACTCAAACAGGAAGGCAGCCTGAGGCCCATGTTCACCCCCTCCTCCCAGTCCACCGACGAGCTGAGCGACAGCTACCGAGAGGCCCCTCCGGCCTTCAGCCACCTTGTGTCCCCTCCCACCCACCCCTGTGACCTGGGAAGCACTACACCCCTGGAGGCCTGCCTCACCCCGGCCTCACTGCTCGAGGACGACGATGACACTTTTTGCACTTCGCAGGCCGTGCAGCCCACGGCTCCTACCAAACTCTCACCTCCAGCCCTCCCGCCAGAAAAGGACAGTTTCTCCTCTGCCTTGGATGAGATCGAGGAGCTCTGTCCCACATCTACCTCCGCAGAGGCCGCAGCAGCAGTGACTGACAGCTCGAAAGGGACCTCCAGTGAGTCCAGTGTCCAGAAACTTGAGGGGCCCCTGGAGAGCCGCACGGATGACTCGAAACTAATTGACTCTCTGCCTGGGAATTTTGAAATCACAACGTCCACGGGCTTCCTGACAGACTTGACCCTGGACGACATCCTGTTCGCTGACATCGATACGTCCATGTATGACTTTGACCCCTGCACATCTTCGTCGGGGACAGCCTCAAAAATGGCCCCGGTGTCGGCTGATGACCTCCTCAAAACCCTGGCCCCTTACAGCAGTCCGCCCGTCACCCCGAATCAGCCTTTCAAAATGGACCTCACAGAGCTGGACCACATCATGGAGGTACTCGTGGGGTCCTAAGACCCAGGGGCCCGGCGGCTGGAGCATTCCCACCACCCCAACAACTCTCCGCACTGTGCATGCACCCTTGCTTGCCTTTTTCAGAGAAAAAGAAAATTTTACAAAAGGATCACACTAGTTTTTGCTTTGAGCAGAGTTGGAGTGCCTTCATCCAAGTATGACCACTTTTAATATGCTTTTTTGAGTGGTTCCTCAGAGACCTACTACCCTGGAATAGGAAAGAATACATTGGAAGACAATGTTGCTATGTTGAATGACAAAAGTCAACAGTTCAAGTGAAGCACAAGGATTAAGTTGGAAGAGCTGTAAATTGCATGTGCATATTTGTCTATTTTTTCTATAAGTTTTATTGCAAGAGGTAAAGAAGAAATATATATATATATTATTTAGATAATCTCAGTACCTTTTCTGGCATTTTCGCCCTGTATAGGTTGACTTGGCAATTAAGCCTTTTTAGAGGCATTAACTACTCCTTGTAAGTGTTGCATTTACATGGCTGTTTAGAAAACTGCTGCCCAAATTTATTTTATATTTTTGTACAGATTCTGCAGTTTATGATATTGTTTTTCTAAAAACAAATGCTGTTTATACATATGAGATAGCTATTTTGATAGGATTTGCTCACATAGTTCCTGCAAACTTCAGATGTACAAGTTGCACTTGTACTTTTATAGAGTTGTAATGTTTTATATGTGTATGGTGCAAGAGAAAATTGGATCAAATCAATCTGTAGTTGATGTCCCCAGATGCAAACACACACACACACACACACACACACACACACACACACACACACACAGCGCTTTAAGAAAGGGCCAGGTAATATCACACCCAGATTTCACAAGCACCGACCCCCTGGCACCAACACCTGCCAATACTGTGACTTCCAAAGCCAGAGCCACATCTGCTCATCAAACTTGCATTAAGCCGTTGGCGGAGATGGTTGTGGAGCTCGGGGTTTAAGTGATGGTTCGCTTTAGCTTCCTCTTTTGAGAGGAAGACTACTGTCGTTCTTAAGAGTGTATTTATGCCAAGCTTGAGCTTTTAAGTGTTTTTATTTTTTTAAATGAAAACCCAGGTCTTTCCATTTTGGCATAATTTTTATGATGACCTGAAATTTTAACATCCGAACAAAATTTTATGAAAAGCAACCAACCTCTTCATGGAACTAAGCCCTATTGCAATCCTTAGGGCTCTTAGGGAAGAAAATCTCCCCCAAAGGCATCCATCATGTTGCTAAATTGTCTTTTGCAGCTTCCCTTCCCCAGAGCTTTTGTTCCCTCTGTTGCTAAGAGCTGAAAATGGCATCTTCGTGATCACCACAGTGAGCTCGGCTTCCCTCGGCCGGCCCGGGATGCACTCTCACCACATCCGTGACTCTTGAACCTGGAGTTCGTCACGTGACATCACAGCTTTCCATCTGGTTGCTTTCTTAAATTAACTGCTTTAACTACACTTTACAAGGCTGTTTCACCCAAAAACAGAGACAGGACTTTCTATGCATGTTTCCCCTACACACCCCCCCCCCCCCAGGACACACTTGAGAAGTAGCTTTTTATTCCTAGTGGTGTACATTTAATTTTAAAACGTTTGCAATGTATCATGCTTGTTGCCGAAATTGTTTATGGCCTTTCGTTTCAGTTTTTTCTTTCTTCCAATGGTACTTTAGCTGTTGAGTGCAGGTTACAACCTATATTGTTATGCAGATGGCTTCTTTAGGAATAACTTTTATATTTATTTAAAAATTTTTAAATTATGGGATTTTGTTTTTGTTGTTGTTGTTGTCTTTGTTGTTGGTCATTTGTCAATATTCAGTCACCAGTTCTGCTCACTTCTTGCCATGGATAAAATTGGGTCTTTCTGGCTAATTACAAAAACAAAACAAAACAAAACTTTATAAATGGCACTTTAAACAAGCCATAGTTAGTTTTATTTTTATAATGCACATGGCAAAGCAAATACATTTGTGATGAAGGAACTGCTCATCTAAGCAAAATCTTCAAGTATGAAAGGATAAAAATCTTTCTGCATTCTAATGTACTTTCCCCCCACTTGAGTGTGTTTTAAAGGCTAATTATCAACTCAGCACAGCAGTGAGAAACTGATCAAATTGCACTTGTTCTCCTACAGGCAACCTCCACAGACACCTCTTACTGCTACAGATATGTCATTTCCTTTGATAGGACCAGGGACCATATAATGAAGGTGAGGGTTGTTGTAGATGCTTCCAGTGTCACTGTGCCTGTCCGTTTCAAGAGCTTCCCTTGTAGAGAACAAGTCTACCCAGACTCCATGCTTTTCATAACTGGAGGACCTGGCGGATCTGCCACATGCTGCACTCATCTACATACGTACACGTACACAATAGTGTTGACTCTTCCGAACAATAACAGGGTAAAGCAGTTGATTTGCCATTGTTAAAAACTGATTTACAGTAACTTAGAACAACTGTACTTTCGTTGGATTAGCAAATCGTGTGTTTAAACAAATCCCATATGTTGGGCAACAGTTCAAATAAGCACAGAGGAGTGTTGCCCAAACTTGGTTCTCTGACTCTCATGTATTTATAAGGCTGGGCTTCAAAATCAAAACAAAAACCCCAACAGCAGGCAACGCTTTTTAACTCTGAGACCCTTGCCGTAAGTCCTGATACTCAAAAAAGCCTAACGAGAAAGACGTGGAAAACCAGTGGCCCATTTTCAGAAAGAACAAAACCATCAAGCATTCAAATTGTCTCTGTGTCCTATTCTTACAGAGGGATGTCCCAACAGGGAAGAGTAGGAGCTCGAGTGGAGCCTCCAAGTCCCAGCCCGAGTGTGGAACGTGCTTCCAGATGCCACCTGGCAGCAGTGCCTTCCCCTTTACACGAGACATCGCGTGGCATCCAGGGCCAGGCAGGCAGCTCGAGGTGCCTTTACGAGAAAGAAGGGCTAGGGGCTGGGGCTGGAGGGGACGATGATTGACATGATGTGCAATGAAGTGACAAGATGAGAGCAGAATCATAAGAGCTTTGAATTTGAAGTGATTCTTTTTTTCCCATAAGTTATTTATTCCTTGTTTCTGTGTAAATATATTTATTTTACTGTGGAGCGCTAACAACATCTGGATCGTAACATGTGCAGAATGTATGGTAGGAATGTATTCTCTTGTAGGAATGTAAATCTGTATTAAAAGGGGTCCAAGCCCGGCCCCCTGGGTCTTCTCATCATATGCACAGTCCACATTCATTTTTACTCTCTCCTCTAATATGGGTCTATTTGAAATATGCAAAAAGTATGGGTGAGGAATGCTTTAATACCTCCAAATTTTTAAGCAAATCAAGCATCAGAGGGTTGATATTTTTTAAAAAATTTTTTTAGTAGCACTTTCTCTGGATGACAGAAGGGGCAACGACACGGGCACCCTCGTTCATACCAAAGGGTGAGAAACGCCAGGGCCTCCACTGCACCTCTCGAGTGTCGCTACCCATTGATTGAGCTTTGTGTCGCCATAGCCCCTTGGAGTGCCCCAACTGCCCTGAGGTCAATCAAGGAAAATTTCTTACCTAAATAAGCTCCAAAGAGCCAAAGTATCAACTTACGGATCGTTTTTAAAGCTTAAATTTATTAACCACCTTTGCGGTAAACAATGAATTATGAATACCGCAGGGCAGCCTTCTTAAATGACAGATGTGAAAAAAAAAAAGACTCTACTTTGTGTAGCGATTGTTATTCTACTCTATATGAGTTGTCTTAATTTGAAAACCTTGCTGTTACCCATTGGACCTTTATACGTTTTCTGGAAATACTGAAAAGAGCATACTGAACCTGTTCTGGCTGTCAATGGTTAACTTCCTGTAACTGCCGCCCCTGGAGGCACCAAGCTGTGTGCGTCTTGCTTATGTACAATTGTTGTCAATGTTTCTAAGAATGAGTCTGAATGGTTCTTGAAAATTAGCCAGGATCAAATGCCATTGCAGACAAAGCCAATACAAACGTTGGACTTCTTTTTGGGGATAACAAGTTTGGAAGAGAAGTGCAGGCCATATGTGCGAACGACCAAGATTTTGAAAAAGGTGTACATAGTGACAAGTTTGGTGCATGGTTTTTGAGGAGGGCTTTTGTCAAAAAGGAGGTATAACCCTTCCCCCACAGACCTGAGAGCTGTGCCTTTTCTATGCAATATTACAGACATTACATCGGAACCCAGATGGCTGTATCCACATGTAGGTTTGGGCTGTAATCTAAACAATTGGACGGATTAAATGTACATGGAAATGAGCAGTCTTACTTTTGTAGTTTTATATTATACAATAAACAGTTAAAAGATGAGAGAGGCACGCTTGCAATTTTCTTTTGATCAGCGCACAACCAGCTTCTCTGTGACAACTTGCTCATGTTAAGCAACAGTCTGGCCACAGCAGCTGGGCCTCAACTGGGGCTGAGGCTGCTGGTCTCTAGAACCTTCTTGGCCTCAGGGACCACCTTTCTCTTCTGGTCTCCCTCTCCCCCCTAGACACTTCTTGACCTCCTTTTTCTCACATCTGTGCCCCAGCTCTCATTAAGTCATGGCTGTTTCCAGGGTTTGGCTCCAGACCAGCTCTTCACCAATCCTCGCCTCATTCTCCTTGCTTTCCCAGGACAATCTCACCCACTCAGGACTCTCAGAACTGATTGCCAGCCCCTGCTTCCCTCCCAAGCTATGGACTTCAATGTCTACCAAGATCTGCTGTCTCACACCCAGTGTGTCTCAGGGTCTTGTCCCCGCTGCGGGCTCCTCAGCCTCATCATTCTGCTCCCACCTTCGGCCCAGCTGCCCACATGCATGATCTGTTCTCCAGTCCTGGTGATTTTTTTATTCTGCCACTGCCTCCCTATCCTCACCACAGCTTCCCCATCTCAGACCTTTTTCCCTCCATGCCTCTGACTGCCTTACCTGCTTCTCACCCAGGCTTTCTGCCACAGTGGTCCTTGACATTGGAGTTGACATTCTAAAAGGCCACTGCTAGCCGGGCATGGTGGCTCACGCCTATAATCCCAGCACTTTGGGAGGCTGAGGTTGAGAGGATTGCCTGAGCCCATGGGTTCGAGACCAGCCTGGGCAACTAGGTGAAAAAATTAGCCGGGCGTGGTGGTGTGTGCCTGTAGTTCCAGCTACTTGGAAGGCTGAGGTGGAAGGATCACCTGAGCCCAGTAGGTCGAGGTTACAGTGACCATGAACGTGCCACTGCATTCCAACCTGGGCGACAGTGAGACTCCAACTTCAAAATAAATAATTGTTTTGTCTGGACAAAAAAAAAAAAAATCGTTGGGGATCCTGTGCAGCCTCCTTGGTAGTGGGGCCATCTTGTATGGAGTCTTGGGGTCCAGCCTCACCTGGTCCAGGCAGCTTGGAGCCACCACACCTACTGGCAAGGGATATGAGACCTGGAACATGAGGGGGTGTTGATTGTGAGTATTGAGGTGTTATGGGTTGAATTATGTCCTCCCCAAAAAGATAGGTTCTAGTACCTCAGAACGTGATCTTAATTTGGAAATAGGGTCTTTACAGAGGTAATCAAGTTAAAAGGTCATTAGTGTGGGCTCTAATTCAATTAGACTGACGGCCTTATAAAAAGAATTCTGACACAGACACTCAAGGAAAACACCATGCAAAGTGGAAGGCAGAGGCTGGGGTGATGGATCTGTAAGCCAAGGAACGGCAAAGATGCCCAGCAGACCACCAGAAGCCAGGAGAGAGACCTGGGGCAGGTTGTTCCCTGTAGCCCTTGAGTGACCCACCTGCTCGGACTTCCGGCCTTCAGAAAAGTACAGTGCTGTTGTCCAAGCCCCCAAGTTCAGGGCACTTTGTTCAGTAACCCAGCAAACACTTACAGGAAAGAAGAACAGGATAAGCCCTTTCCAGACATCCCAGTGGAAACACTAAGGCAGCTAGAAACAAGGGTCCATTGCTCAGCAGAGTGGTTTGCATCTGGAATTATGAGCTTCTGCTGTTAATTAATGCTAAAACTTGGGCAAGTTATTCAGTCTCTATTTATGAGGATAGGATAGTCATAGCTCCTAAAACTCTTTGAAAATGTCAGTACATTAGCTGGGCGTGGTAGTGTGCACCTGAAGTTCCGGCTACTTGGAAGGCTGAGGCTGAAGGACCGCTCGAACCCAGCAGGTCCATGCTGGGGTGGCCGTGAGCATGCCATTGCACTCTAGCCTGGGCAACGGAGTGAGACTCCAACTCCAAAAGAAAGAAAGAAAGAACATGACAGTACAAGAAAAATGCAAATGAATGTTGAATGTTATGTCTGTCCTCTTATAACCAGAGCTGTACCCAGCACATAGTAAGCACATAGTAAGTAAGGAAAAAAGGCCAAGTGCATGGCTCAAGTCTGTAATCCCAGCACTTTGGGAGACCAAGACGAGAGGATTGCCCGAGTTCAGGGGTTCGAGACCAGCCTGGGCAACTCAGTGAGACCTCATCTCTACAATAAATTGAAAAACAAAAATTAGCCGAGTATGGTGGCGTGCAACTGTAGTCTCCGCTCCTTGGAAGGCTGAAGTAGAAGGATCGCCTGAGCCCAGGAGGTCGAGACTATGGTGGCTGTGAGTGTGCTGCTACACTCCAGCCCAGGTGACAGAGTGACAAAGGCATGTTTGGTGTTTTGATTTCCTAAACTCAAAAAAAAAAGAAAAGAAGGAAAAAAAAATTCTAGTGTTCACACTTCTTTACAGAATTAGGGATTAAAGGGGCTGATGTGACAGATGTAAAAGCTGACACCCAGAGAGGGAAAGGGGTTATTGTTCAATGCAAAACACAGTTCATAGCTTTGGGGTTCTGTTTGTCTCTGCAACCAGTGCCTGAGTTTGAATCCTGGCACCACTACTGACAACCTATGACTCTTGGGTGAGTTCCTGAATCTCTCTGCACCTCTGCTTTCTCATCTTTGAAAGACATGTAATAATTGATCTTGTCTCATGGACTGGTGGGGATTCAGCGAGTTGATGCATGTAAGAAAGTTCACCAGTGTTAGTATAGCCAACGTGACAGTGGGCAAAGCTGACTCAGTGTGGTGTTTTAGGTGGACCCTTAAAGCAAAACTGGGATGTCCTCATGTCAAAGGCATGTTTGGTGATGAGGGGGCACCATGATTTCCTAAACGTGCATGCCATGACGATCAGCTGTATGCTTACTAGAGCACCATGCTCTGTGCTTACGCAGCAGTCTGGGGTCCCAGAGTCCCTGTTGCCTCTTCCATCTTTGCTTTTAATGTCCTTTTGTTCCTCTTGGAGAGGAATCTTTAAAACAGGAGGAATAGTCCCCAGAGTTACCACTTACTAAGCGCTCACATGTGCCAAGTGCCACTGTATACTGGTACGCGTGATCTCATGAACTCTCCTCCCCAGCCCTTTGAGGTTTTATCTTTACAGAGGTAGCAGTTCAGCCTCAGAGAGGTTAAGCAACTTCCCAAAGGTCACGCAGTTGGCAAGTGGCAGAGCTGACTCACAACCCCTTCAGCACACCCCTTATCTTCAGCCTGGAGGCTGAGAAAGTTGTTCTAATCCCAGCTTGACCTCTGTCACTTGCCCGACCTTGGACCCCTCCTCTTCCCAGAGTGCAGATCTTGGCACACACCTGGCACTGCCCTGAGGAATCAGAGGACAAAGCTGTCCCCGTGGGGCCGGCGGTGAACCAGGAGTTGGGAGAGCTCTACAGGGCGGGATGCCCCCTAGCTTCTCTTGTCCTGACTCTCTGTAACCTTGGACCTGTCACTTCCTCTACTCTGGTACTCAGTGGGAAAAGAAGAAGCAGGCCACACATGCCTGCCCCGTGCTTTGGGCTGCCGGTCTCCCTGGCAACACATCAGGAGCATGGAGGCCTCCGCCAACATCTCTGGACGTGCATTCCGGACCTCGAGGATTTTACAAATGCTCCAGGTGGGAGGAGAACCTCTGCTCCAGGATGCCAGCCTTCGCAGCTTCTGGGATGGTGTGGCCATGTGCATGACCCAGGAGGCGCGCACGCCGGCATTGTCCCTGGAGCTGGGAACCCCCTCTGCTGCAGACTGGCTGCCCCAGCCCCACAGCCGCCGGGCAGCCTCCCTCCCTCCCTCCCTTTCTCCCTCCCCGGCAGGGCAGCCAAGCTGCCAGCTGCTAGCAAGGCCTATTGTTCAGCAGTGACAAGAAATGGCTGCGGAGCACAGCACAGGCCTGGAGGGAAGCTGGAGGCAGAAAGGAGGGGGGGAGGGGACAGACAAGCTGGGGAAATGTCTCAGCACCAGCTTCCCTGGGGGGCTAAGTTAGAGACACAGGAAGCACTGTCCTCTCCTCTCCTGCTGGTCTGCCCCTCCCTCCCTAGGGTCTAACAGACTTTTTCAGTGGTCTTCCCAGGCTGTGATGTGCAGTGGAAGTGTGTGGCACTGTTTCTGTGGCTGCCTCTGGAGAAGGATTAATAGTCGTTTATCTCCCTGCTGAGGGCCTGCAAAGTGCCAGGTGGCCGAGTGCTCTCAGAAAGTGTTGTTTCTCGTCAGTCCGTCCCACCCTCAGCTCCTGTGATGATGATCTCGACATTTGTGTGCAGCTTGGTGTGGGTGAGCATTTCACAAACACCTGCTTTAGTGGATCTTCGCAAAGTTTCTGCAGGGGAATGCGGAGGCCAGCAGGATGAGGAAACTGTAGAGGGGGCACAAAGCTCCCAAGGGGAGACATGAGGGCAGGGGACAGACTCTGGACCTCTCTTTTGATGACCCTCAGATGGGCCCTTCAGGGCTTAAAGAAGCCGGCCAGAAATCCAGTTATGAAAAAAATACGGGTCCTAGGCCAGCCTGGGGCTAGAGGTCAGGTATTGCCTGGGAGTTTTTTTTTTTTTTTAGTTGGAGTCTCACTCTGTTGCCCAGACTGGAGTGCAGTGGCCACTTCCGGCCCCTGCAGCCTCGACCTGCTGGGTTCTGGCGATCCTTCCGCCTCAGTCTTCCAAGTAGCTGGAACTACAGGCGCGTGCTACCATGCCCAGCTAAGTTTTTATTTTATTTTATTGTAGAGATGAGGTCTCACCAAGTTGCCCAGGCGGGTCTCGAGCCCGTGGGCTCAGGCAATCCACTCACCTCAGCCTCCCAAAGTGCTGGGATTACAGGCTGAGCCACCGAGCCCGGCTTCCCTCGGAGTTTTACAGCAGGGATTTAGTGGGAACGGAAGCCATTCAGAGCTATGATTCTGTCCTTTCCGTCCAGAGACTTGTCCTCCCCCAGTCAATCCTGCCCACCCCAACTACACACACACTCAGCCATAGTTGGGGTGGGCAGGAGTGGCTCAACTGGAGACAGCCACTTCCTTCCTTCCCC